GCATCTCTGTGGAGGACCCAGCCTCTGGTTGCCTCAGGACACTGTCTGGGACCCACTTTTTTTCACTTCATTTTTTTTTTTACCCATATCCAGGGGCCTAATTTTGCCCCTGCACTGCAAACTTGCAGGGGTTTGAGATGCTGCAAGAGGCACATGCAGGATTGTCTGGACGTGCCCATACTGGCTTTCCCTTGTCACTCTGCCCAGCTCAGTGACAAGTCAGTGATTTAAAAGCCAGCAGCTAGGAGTGGGGCTCCAAGGAAGTTGCCCTCATCTGGGTTTCAGTGGCCACTGGATAAGCAGCTGGGCAATTTAAAAGCTGGTGGCTGAGAGTGTGGCTTGAGGAAGTTGCTTATAAAGCAACTTTTAAATCACTGCCCTGCCATTCAGTGGGCAGCAGGGTAGCAAGAGGGAGCTGGGCTGAGAAAAGCCTATGCACACTCAGCTCCTGGCCCATCTGGCTTTTAAACTCATTCAGTTGAGTGGTGGACAAGCAAGGAAAAGCCAGAGAGGCTGGGAACTGGGCATGCAGAATCTTTCCCCAACTTGGCTCCCGCCTACTGATCTTTCAGCCTCCCCCTGCTGCCTGTGCTACCCAGCTAACCCAGATCAGAGCAGGGCAATCTGTGTCTCAGTGCTGTACCATGGTGGCAAGGCCCAGGAACCTTGCCACTGCAACCAAATGCTCCTGCTTCACTCCACACTGCTTTGGGTTGGCCTAGAGCAGCACAAGGCAAGGAAGGATGCTATGCCAACATCACAAGGCTTCCAGAGTTTTTCTGCAGTGGCTGAGTGCTCCCCCCCTGTCCTTGCACTGCTCCAGGTCAGCCAGGAGAAATGTAAGGAGCAGGAGCTATTCTCCTGAAGAGGAGAACTGGGAGGGTCTCTATCATAGAAAAATGGACCCCCACCAATCAGATGATTGGCAGGATGGGGAGTGCATTCTCACAGAGGTGGAACCCTCCTCAGCTGCCTGTGGGTGGTGCTGCTTCTCAGCAGCTGCCAACTTCCATTTGACGGTCTGTCCCCTTTCCAAGCAAGGGAAAGGACAGGCTGTCAATTTATAGGCTCCCCTAACAGTGCAAGTTACCCATGGAACAGCCCTCTAGTGACACCTGGCTAAAGAGTTTCCTGTGAAGCTCTCCAGCCACTGACTGGAGATATGACTGTGCAGTCCAGCTCCTCAGCTATTTTTCTACCAGAAGAAATTTCTTCCAGTAGAAATGAATGCCTGTAAACAGCTGGTGTCAATGCAGATATACCAGTATACCAACCCCCACCTCTATAGATTACCTGAAATCTTGAGGGATTGCATCATGAGTCTTGGGACACTTGTATATTCAATAAAACAGCTGGAGAATATATTTTATCTGGAATCAGTAAAGGAAAGAGGACCTGGTCCTGCAATTTTTCCATAAGACTTCCGTAAAAATAAATGCAGTATGGCTCAAGACAAATATTTATGACCCATGCCAGCTTAATTCTGCTCTTACTGATGTTAGTGGTAAATCCTCAAGAACGTAAATGGAAGCAAAGTTTGGTCAAAGCCAAATGCTTTTGAAAATCATACTCTCAAATGTGTATGCCCACACTGCAGTCACTCCTGCAAAATTCAGCTGAGATACTGAGTAATGCCCTGATAGTTAGTTTGCACTGAGCTGCCATGGCCAGACCACTACTTGTATTCAAGCTATCCAATTTAATACTAACTCTGGTATATCTACTCTACATCAGTCACAGCCACGACTAACATAGACCATATCCTATCCAGCGGTTCCCAATCTGTGGTACAGGTACCACCAGTGGTACGCAGACAACCTGTCAGTGGTATGCATTAACAAATTTATTATAATTACTTTATATGACAAAATTTTGCTGGTGGCACTTAAGTTTGTATCATTTTAAATTGGTGGTTCACAATCTGTCACTGTTTGGGAACTGCTCTCCTATACAAAAGGCCTAAATCCTAAAGTCCTTTCTTACCCATAAGTAGACTCATGGTTGAGCAGGTTCAACTAGTGAACCTTCAACTACTGTGTATAACAAACTGCTAATACTGGAGGGTTTTTTCAAAATTCATAAGAAAGGAGAACTCCATCCTGTAAAAATTATCTAAGTTACTATGAAAAGTTCAAGCAAGATAAATAATTTCAAGCAGCTTCAACAAGACTTTTAAAAATATACAGTAAGCATTTTCTTCAAGTTACAATGCAAATCTATGTATATCATATTCAATTAGCAGATACAGTTACGTGAAATATTACCTAATATCCACATATTATTCTTGAATTTGCTGAGGTTCATTTTTTTCTGAAAATGAACCTACATTATCCTAATCAACATGCACGTTTCAGTTTGGCTTGATATTTTTCATTCTATAAAGCAACTGGGTCAAATAAGTCAGCTGCACTTGGGCTCTTAGCAGCTATTTAACAAAACTGATTGCCTCACCACAGTAAGCAAGCTATTTGCTCCAATAATTCAGTTGTAGGCAGGTTTTTAAACTAAACCTCCCTAATTGCTATCATTGTGATTTTGACAAATTGCTATGTTTGCCATTATTTAAAAGGTGTAGATTGGAAATTAACTGCTATATTGTAAAAGCCTTATCCTTTTCCACTGGGGGAGGGGGAAATGATAAACAAAACAAAAACCTAAGAAGGAAAGGAAAAGGTACATGCAATAAAAGCATTTTATTTAGTTTGTTGAGTTTTGCATTAATTGAAGAAAAAACTACCTGGATAATATAACTGTGCAACCTACCATTCTAATCTTACACTATAATCAATTATGTAGCTTTTGAAATACCGTAGTAGGTTTTTCTATATCTGAATTTAAGAGATGCTTTTATATCTGGCTCACCTGCCTTTTCAAAAGGTAAGCCTACGCTTAGAACACTCTCAGACAAAGGCACACTTCACTGGAAATATAAATGGATAAAAATGAAGCTTTAGAAAGTTAAAGCACTGAAGCATCAATCCAAAGCATGCATTGGAAACAGCAGATCATTTACATGCATGAGGGGTATCTACATGCAAAAGACATTGATTTCTATGTTAAAAAATGTAGATATGTTTTCAAGAACCAACACATAAAATGCAGCATTTGCACACACAGAAGTTCAACTGTAAAACAGAACTTATATTACCATGTTTATTAGAAGAACCTTTAAAGCACTTAAATCTGCTTTTTTTCTTCTCTTCCATTAAGTCAGCCAATGTAACCCCTTGGTGTTAAGTACATGTAATCCCATCATTTACACAGTAGATGGCAGCAGTCGCAATGCAAAAAAATAAAAATATGTCCACATACACAACACAAGCAATGTTAGACAAAACATAAAATGAAATTATCAACAGCATAACTAATCACAGCATAAAGTCATCACCTTTTATATGGATTTCTGCATTACCAAATCCTCATCCTTTTGTAGTTTATGGAAGTGTATTCATTTACTTTGAGGCAACCAGGATTTGGTTGATGATAAAAAATAACCCAAGGAACTATCTTAGCAATGTATTTGTTATCTTAAGAGTTTGATCTATTCTGTTATTCAGCCAACAGTTAATACTCATTGGTTAACAGTAAAAATCCTTATAGAATAACATGGGCATGATATGAAATATTTAGATAAATGAAAACAGGGAAACAGGTTACATTTTTTTTTAAATGCTTAGGTAACACAGGTTCCATGACAATTTTATAAATTTTGCACAAAATCTATTTCTGCAGTTATTGCAGGAAAGTTTGGTCATTAAGCAAGGTTCAGTGATCTGATAAACTTGAGTATTATAGGAAAGTAGAGTTGGTAGGGACCTCATGATCAGGGATCCTGGTTTTCTCTTAATTAAAAAAATCCCCAATTTTTGGTTAAAAAAATGTAACCCAAATGTAATCTACATTGTTCCATGATTAAAATGAAAAAAAAAACCTAATGTAGATAGTGGTGTTTCATTTTAATCACAAAAAAGTAGATTTGAGGTTACATTTTTTAAACCAAAAATTGGAGATTTTTTTTAAATCAGAAAAAAACAGGATCCCTGCTCATGATGTCATCTAGTTTGGCCTCTATTCAAGGCAGGATCATTCCTGACTAAATCACCCTAGTCATGTCTAACCTGTTCTTGAAAATTGCCAGGTATGGCGTTTCCACAATATCTCTAGGTAGCACCTTCCAACTTTGTAAATACGAACAACATTCTAATATTATAAAAAGCCTTAGTCTGTCTGTCTGTCCATAACACTTTATTTGCACTCTGATTGGTTGTCTTGGCAGACAATCACAATGCTTACTGAAACAACCAATCAGAGTGTTCTCCACAGACAGAAGCGCTGCCGTGACAGTGGGGACTGAGGGGCTGGAGCAGGGGGGTGAGAACAGTGGTTCTGGCCTCGCCACCCCTGCACCCCTCAGTCCCTGCTGTCATGGCTGAGCCGTCCCCTCTCCCCAGCCCTGCTCCTTGGAGGCAGAGGGAGAAGGAGGGGGTGGGAAAACGGGCCCAGACCTGACATGGTGGGGGGAGGGGAGAGCAGGGGGAATGGGGCCAGATGAGAAGCAGAGGTGGGGCTGGAGGCAGGGCTCAGTCCCTGCTTGCCCCCCTGCCCCCCCGATGGAGGGAACTGAAGGATCAGAGTGGGTGGATGAGGCCAGCAGTGCTGGCTCCCCTGGCCCCTCAGTCCCCACTGTCACGGTGGCAGGGACAGCCTGGGACAGTGGAGCACTGCTATGATGGCAGGGATGGAGGGGGGGGGCCAAGCCAGCACCACTGGCCTCGCTCCCCCCAGCCCTGATCCTTGGAGGTGGCAGCGCAACGCTCGCCTTGTTCCCCAGCTCCGGCCTCACCACCGCTGCTGCTGGGCCCTAAGTGGGGAGGGCGAAGTGGTTGGGAGGAAGAGGGAAGAGAAGCAGGAAGTGGGGGCACAGCGGCAGTGATGCCCCATTGCCACCACCACTGGGCCCTGAGAACAGCTGGGAGAGAGGGAAAGGAGCCAGGGGGAAAGGGGGTTCCGCATGGCCGGACATACATTGGCAGGAGCACAGGGTGCCCTCTCCCATGCCTGGGAGGTGGCGACGCTGCAGGGTGAAGCAGTTGTGGGGGGGCCCACGGGGCCAGAGGCAGAGCAGTGGCAGCTCCATCCCTGCCTGGCCCCATCTCCCCCGGTCATTGTTGATGGGCAATTGGCTAGTCCCACAATAAAAGTTGTCATGAATGGAGCCAGCAGCTCTAAAATGAGTTTTTGCTTGAAAATCAGTTCTAGAAATTAGCCATTTGTACATCTGTATAACAGACAGCCCTGGGCTCTCAGGTACTTTAAGGTAAAGGCAGCCAAGCCAGGGAGCACTGCAGGGCAGGCAGGGTGCAGCACCTGCCAGTTGCCAGGGCAACAGGGCAAAATGAGGCAGTGAGCAGATACCTTCAAGCATTCAGCTGACCAGATGTACGCAGGGCCCTGAGAGCATATAAACACAAGGTTGGGGCTGGCAGGGGCTTCTCTCCCTGGCTGTGACAGGAGAAGAAGCTCCTGTTCAAGGATGCTGGGCCTAGTGTTTTGCTGCCTACAGGAACAGGGAGGTTCAGGGAACTTGTGAGGTACCCTGGCAGGGAGGCATGCTATACTTGGGGTAAAGGTTTGCCCTCATAAAGGGGCACAGGATTGCTTCCTTTGCTGTTATGTTACAGCCCAGGGGCTTATGATTTGCGTTACTGTTTTGACCGGTGGTTTGGGATGAGGCTGGAAGACGAGGTAAGGGAGGCCTCATTAGTGCCCAGGGAGCACTTGAGTGCCGTGAGCCCTGCCAGGGGCAGGGTCAAGCAGTTATTGAGCCCAGAGTGGGTAGAGAGAGAGGGTGCAGCCACACAGGAAAAAACAGAGCTAGAGCCTCAAAGCCAGGTCCAATTCAGTGGGGCCCAGGCTAGAAGGCCTAGCCAAAGTAAAGGGGCAGAGGCCAAGAAAGCCGAAGCCTCACAGAGGGAGCAATGTTACCATAACACCTGAGAGGCATGGGACATGGTAAAGAGGAGGATTTGGAGCCACACAATTAACCCATAAGGCTTTGGGTGTCCTGCCAGGGGACTGAGACCACAGAGGCCTAGCTAGGAAACTAAGACCAGTGAGCACTAGTAGAGTGCCAGGGGCCCTAGTGGAGGTTCAATGGAACCAGAGCTATGCAAAGGTCTGTGGGCAGACTTCCTATTTTATTTCCATCATGGTGTGGCAGGAAAGACAGGAGGGTGCCCTAAAGGTGGATTGGGGCATGGTTGCAGAGCCACCAGTGGGCATCACGGCCATCCCTGGGACCCCAACATGTTACAATCTAGAAGGTGAATCTAGACCAAATTTTTCTCTTAAGACTTTAAAGCTCTTTCCTAGACACTCACTACTCTGGTGCCAGTTATTTAAAGTTCACTCTGCACCTAACTTAGAAGTTCAACACCATGATGGGCACAAGTGCTGCTTCTTTCACTGAATGTGTCTACTGGATAGGTAACTAGAGATCCTTCCCTACAAAAAAATATACACAACACTTTGAATTAAAGGGCCATTTTTCAGGCTTCCATTGTTTATTTATACATGGTCACATTTCATACTAAAAAGGTAGCTTCACTCTTCATATATAAAAGCACATACTCAAATCCAGTAGAACTTCAGGAGATAGTCTGTTCAGCAGAAATTTCCACTCAAAAAACATGTATAGGCTTCTTCAATGCCAAGAAAACACTGGGTGATCATTAGCTTATTGCAAAACAAAAATGTGTGCGCTTGTGGAATGCATGTTATAAAACCTCTATGAGCCAGCTGAATCAAAATCTATTTTCACTAGACAACTGAAAAGTAAGACTACAATGTAAAGACTGTCCTAAATACTTACTTATGCCCTGTTTGTTTTGTGGTACAAAACAAGTTCAAAGTATTTGGCAACCATAGGATCACCCAGATTTCACCCACAACTGAAAACCTACTTCAATGATGCTTTTACATCCTAATTTTTTATCTGTTTTTTAAATTCCTGTGAACAAAGCCAATGGCTCATCTGCAGGCCAAGATGAAACCAGAGAAGTACTGGGTAGACTTTCCAAAAGTGCCAAAGTGATTCACAGGAGTTTAAGTCCAATTTACAAAAATAACCTAGGCAGCAAGGAGCCTAATTAACATTGAAGTCCCACAGCCCTTCCCAATCTGTGTGTGCACCAGGTGTTTGAGCCAGTTTTATCTGGCAGTGGCACCAACACTCATTTGAGAACCAATAAGATAAGTTAGGGCAGTACAACAGTGATTCCCAACCAGGGTGCTGCTAAATTTAGAAAAGCCCTAACTTTAAATAGATTGAGAACCACTGGTACAGAACCTAAACATGTCCGTAGGAGATGTCAGTTCAACAACAATACAATACCAATGGATTTTCAATAAGCAAGTTAAAGCATACAGGTCCACTGTACTCTTCATGTTATTAAAATCTAATTGAAGTCTACTGGAATACTACTTCCTTCCTTAGAGCCCTGTGATGACTGGGTCATTAATGTATAGAGTTTTTAAGACGCAACATGGTCCATGCTCAACGTTATATTTTTGCACTGTCTGAAGTAGTGCTCTCCTGTCATTTCTCACATATTTCTCATGTTATAACTTTGGTTTTAGAATCAAATAAAAGAGCCACCATGATCTGAATTTTAATTTCAAACTCCTGGCTTACCCTACATATTTTCTACCCACATCCTATTTCCTTATCTTATGCTGCAATAAAAATTTAGGGGCAAAACCAGCTGCACCCACTCCAGGCATTGTTCACCTGCAAAGGGGACTTAGGCCACAGTAAGTCATTCAAGTAACATTGTATCTTGCTGCAAGCAATACAGGTTCGGACATTATTGGCCATGAGAACAAAAAGTGTCTAAAACAGCAAAAACAGTAATAATGAATATGCATTGATGTGATACATGGAAACACTGTTCAGAATCTCTGTTTGTGACAAATTACTCAAGGCCACATTCCAGTACTTCTATATAGACTGAGTGATATCTAATTTGGCAAATACCTCTCCTTCATTCATTTAGATTATTTCGAGAGAGAAAGCTACTGCTCAACATAAATAAGAATATTGAAAGCTAGCTCGCAGTCTCCAATATTGTGGTTAATGGTACAATATTATGACACCCTGCAAAATACATCCTAACTTTGCATGTCACTCACTTACTCCATCATATATTTTCTAGTAACATTTTAATCACTTCTTTGCATACATAAAAAAGTCTTAAAAAATTCTATCAGACTAGTGTTTTAAATGTCTTTGTCAGATAAACACACTTCAGTTGACAACTACAAACAATGGACAGTTGATGCTAAGTCATAAATGTAATATATTAATTTCAGATTCTCTCCTGAAACTCTGGTTGGAAGCAGTAGAGGATTATCATGGTAGAAAACTGAAGGTGTTAAACATTCATAATCATGGTTGTCATTAGCACTGTGCCCTGTAATAAGTTAATAATAAGTATCCTACAATATAAGTTTTTAGATTTTGAATGGAATTCCACGAAGATTCCACCACAGGGTAATGCTACTAATAAAGATGACTTCAGCCATGTACAGATATTCTGTTTCTACCAAGAGAATTGCCACTCTCCCAGTAGAAGCCACAAGTGTACGGACATTCCAGCTTTTTCTCTCAAAGCAAAATCTGTGATTCCAGGAGAAAAATAGCCTGACTCCAACCAGTTAGAAGTTGCTCCTGGGAGAATGAATGTACACTTTTCCATGGCTTAACTCCTCCCAGGCACCAAGAGAACTGCAGTTGTGGGGAAAAGCTCCTGTGCCTTCCAAAGATTCTACCCTGGACTGGAGAAGGTGCAAGGGGGCACCTGCTTCTTCGCCTCCTGTAGACTGGGAGGAAGGAGAAGCCAGATGCTTCCTACAGGCTTCTCACACACTGGAGTCCTCAGTATGTGAAGCAGACAGGTGGCTTTTCCATGCTGCTCCATCTGCTTGGGTTCTGGGCACTGGAGTTCCTGATGCGAGAAGTGGGCAGGAGGCTTTGCCCTGCTGCTCCAGTCTCCCTGAGATGATGCTTTCCCCAGACGGGATCACCCCAGTCTCAGGAATACACAAGGAGCAAGGGCTGCAGCCTGAACGTTTGTAGTGCTCCCTGTAACAGGGAGAAAGGGCTCCTGTTACTTTAAGAGAAACAAAGAAACAGAGCAAGACCTGCCATCTGATGCAGACAGCTGAGCAAAGGCCAGCTGCTGGAAAGAAAACAGTTCCGAGGTGACAGGGCTACAAACTGTGACTGGCTATCCTGGAGTCAGCTGCCCTGCAACAAGCCACAAAGGGGCAAACCTCCAGGCAGTCAAATAAGTAAAGACTACAGAGCAGCTGGGGTAGATGCTACAGAGACAAGGAGGCTTATTAGTGGGCAAAGGAGAAATCCTTATGTCTGATTTGTCAGCATCAGAAGATCAGATGACCAGAATGGGTGAAGCTCAGAGGAAGATAAGCTCTGCTCTTGAGCCACAGCAGGTAGTCTGGCCCTGACCCTACGGAGTGGGGTTATTGGAGATAGTACAACAGGCACTCAAGGTACCATAGAGAGCTAGAAGAAGACAGGAAGCGGTAGGAGTAGGATAGGGACCCAGAGTGGGGTTTAAGTATTTTAGTTTGAAGCAGTTTGCTTGTGTGTCTGTTCCTGTTTCTGACTGGAGGCTTGAGTTGTGGCTGCAGGGGCAGCAGGAGGCCACAGGTGGGATGCCTGGGTGGTGCTCCGTGCCATAAGGGGCTCAGGCCAAGACAGAGCCTGCAAGGGTCTGGGACCCAGTGGGCTGCATGGGATAAAGTCAAGTGGTTTGTAGGCTAGGAGGAAGTGTGCAGCCCTGCAAAGGCAAGAGACCTGCTGGGCTGAAACTAGGATAAGGCTAGAGGTCCCAGTGGATGGAAACAGTGAGACATGCCAGGCAGGGCATGGCTATGGGAAGGATGAAGGCCAAAATTTATACTCCTCAGGCATGATTAGGGCCTTTCGGGCCACAATTAGAGCCCATAGGGCATAGGCAGTGGCAGCTGGAAGCAGAATAATTTTTATTAGTGGCCTGATGGTCCAGTGATGAGTAGAACCAAGGGTCCAGCTAAATAAGTTAAGTCAGACAAGAGGCAGCACTTCCAGGATCACTCCTGCACTCTGGGGCAGCTTCCCAACATAATATAATATTTATATCAAGGCATGGCAGGGGAAACAGCAAGGCATATGCCAAGGAGCTGGAGCAAGGCAGCCCCAATGTGGCCATCAGGAGGTGCCACAGCCACACTCAGGGGCCAGTCCTGTTGCACTCCTGCTGGAATCACTTAGAGTAGCAGAAATCTTCCATCACTAGAAATGATGGCTTGCAAGTATCTTTATCAAGCATGGTTAATGACTAGACAAAAGGAAAGTTGAGTATCAATTTTTTTACTTGCAGAATTCATAAAAATTGTTTTTCTTAACACAACCTAAAACTTTCACATGTAACCCTTTTTTTTGTTCTCAGTGCCCTTTAACTTCTGGGTTTTGCAGGTGGGATTTAGAATGTTCTGTTTAATGCACACATCCACTGACAATTCCTTTGGCTATGCCAACAACAGTCTAGATCTGAAATGTCATTGAGTTGCGTACCATCTGTATGGCAACTGTCTTTTTAGGAAACAAAAACAAAACAGAAAAACCTTTTAAAAACAATGATTTTCTTAAACCTCAGTAGCAGTTGTCAAAATAGCACAGCCCATTATTTCTACAAGGGTAACTCAGGTCACAATATAATGATATGCTTCCAACCTATCATTCATGACAGTAGGTATCTGAATATTAATAAAGATGTGGCTGTTCAACTAATACACATTTTTACACAACCTGAAATTAACGTAGTAATATTTGAGATGCTACATTTTCACTTTCACATAACTCTTTTTCTACGTAGATTAACTGTCTTTCACTAAGTGAAGTATAGAGCAAAGAATACATACTGTTGCGTTTGCCTTCTTCGTCACCCTCCTCATTCTCAGGGTCAATGTCTTCTGCCTGGGTAATCCAGTCTAAATATCCTTTCAGATCCTCTTCAAGCTGCTGTTTTTCACGTAGCTTTTGAAAGTCCCCACGGGCCTTGGCTTTTTCTCTTTCCTTGGAAAATTCTCTATTGAATTCAGATAAAACAGAACAAATATTGATTATGAGGCTGCCTGACATTCTGACCTAGAATTCTACACTGCAGAATAACATACTGATACAGCAAATGAACTACAGAAACTATATGGAAGATTTGACAATTTCTTTCAAAGCAAGACAGTGGTATCCAGAGTTGATATCTAAATTTCTTTCTTATTACACTTTATAAAACTGGTGATAGTATTGTTTATAAAAGTCAGAATTATTATGATTTAATTAAAACTTAAACATTATTGACAATTTCTTCAACTAATACTGCAGGCTTGGGCAATGTACTCCCAACAACAGTCTGAACTTTTATTTGTCTAAAGGCTACTAACTAAGACCATAACCATGCACTTATGAACTTAACTGAGTGTGCTAAGAGAAGACACTACTTTAAAGACAATTGGGAGATGCTGGCCGACTATACCCAAGGTAAACATAAGTCAAAAAGGATCCCTCTAAAATTAGCTTTGTGTCTAGCTCAAAACTCTCTATCTTTACACACTGCTTATACATTGTAGCACAAATATTCCCTGAGATGCTTTTTCTTTTCCTTAGATTACATGCCAAAGCCAGTGTCTGTGAAGAATGTGAATGTTTTTCCCCTTTGCACTCTTGGATAGCCTCCCTGTACTCATATGATAATCATAGGATATGCCGTACTCATATCAGTGTTATGCCCTTTTACCTGGTTGTCCACTTCTCAGGACAAATAATTTAGCTGACTCTGTCTTTGATTCAGTTCATCCCCTCATTCATCAAACTGTTTTAAATAAACTCTGACTTCAGCTGTACATGCCTTACTACACTGCCTTTCAGGAGCAGTACTTGATTTTACTGAATCAGTACTTGATTTTAGCAGTACTGGAGCAGTACTTGATTTCAGATGCAGTACTTGAGTTTACTGCACTAGGTCTTTAACACTAGGTCTACAGAGGTTATCAAGGCACTAGGGGCAATACAGTGTATAAGCCCCATGTCTTCCTTTACTGGGTATTGAAACATATTTTGATTTGCTTATGTATCAACAGATATAATTAATTGTTCAAAAGCATGCTTTGCAAATGATATGGTACTGTCACTACAAGACTCATTAAAGGATGTGTCTCGTTGGGCTTAATTTTGTCCTCAGATAGCCAGGCAATTTGTCAAGTGATATCAACAAGAACGGTGCCTTTCTTTCTGGAAAAGAAATGTCTCTCATTTGGAAACTAAAGTTTATTCCAGTGGAAAATTTCTAATCAGGTTCTCAATGAACAAAAAAGAAGATTAACAAAGAAGTTAGGTTCTAAGAAGCTAAGAAATAACTATGCCAAATAGGCAGCCCACATATGGAAAGATGAGTATTCCAGATGAAGAAGCCCATCCTTAAGCTTTCATTTTCATGAAACGCCCTTATATCTTGGGGAATGAGTGAATGAGTTTTCAATTTAGTCATTCACTAAAACATTAATACAGCTTTATATTAGAAGTGAAATAAAATTGAGTAAAATGTTCTTATGCAGACCAGATGTCTGTACTTCAGCTGTGCTTGTAATCTAATTTCTAAAATCCAATAGTGGTTATTACCTTGCACAGAAGGTGAAAAAATAGACATCCCTAGCAATACAACAATTGCAAAAGAAACTGCCAACAATTCTACACTAGGAGATTCTTTTCATTTCCTTCTTTCAACATTTTCTTGTGATTTGTATATTTTCAGAGTGAGAGATGAAGAGCAGTGGCTACTAGTTGAAAAGATTATGAGCAAGTACTTTACACATTTCTTCACACTGATCATAGAAGTATAGAAAATTATGGTTGGAAGGACCCCAGGAGGTCATCTAGTCCAACCCCATACTCAAAGCAGGACCATCCCCAACTAGATCATCCCACCCAAGGCTTTGTGTAGCTGGTCTTAAAAATTTTGAAGGTTGGAGATTCCACAAACTCTTTGGGTTACCTGTTCCAGTGCCTTACTACCCTCCTAATGAGAGTTTTCCCTCATATCTAACCTAAACTTCCCTTGCTGCAATTTGAAACCACTGCTCCTTGTTCTATCATCTGCCACCACTGAGAACAGTCTAGCTCCAACCTTCAGGTAGTTGAAGGCTGCTATCAAATAACAGAATAATAGAAAATTAGGTTTGGAAGAGACCTCAGGAGGTCATCTAGTCTGACCTCCTGCTCAAAGCAGGACCATCCCCAACTAGATCATCCCAGCCAAAGTTTTGTCTAGCAGTGTTTTGAAAACCTCCAAGGATGGAGCTTCTACCACCTCTCTGGATAACCTGTTTCAGTGTTTTACTAAATCCCCCCTCAATCTTCTCTTCTCCAGACTAAAGAAACCCACTTATCTCAGTTTCTCCTCCACAAGGCATGTGCCCCATCCCCCTAACCATTTTCACTGGCCTTCTCCAATTTGTCCACAACCTTTCTGTAGTGGGGCGCTCAAAACTGGACCCATGACTCCAGATCTAGTCTCACCAGTGCTGAATAGAGGAAAATAATCACTTCCCTTGTTCTGCTGGCAGTGCGCCAACTAATGCAGCCCATTATGCTGTTAGCCTTCTTCACATATTCAGCTTACTGTCCACTGTAACTACCAGGTCCTTTTCTGCAGCACTGCTGTTTAGCCAGTCAGTCCCTGGTGTGTACTGGTGCATGGGGTTGTTCCATCCTAAGTGCAAGACTTGCACTTGTTCTTGTTGAACATCATGAGATTTATTTTGGCCCAATCCTCTAATTTGTCAGGGTCTCTCTGAATCCCAGCCCCACCACATATCTATCACTTCCCCCTGCTTGGTGTCATCTGCAAACTTACTGAGGGTGCACTCCATCCCATCCTCCAGATTGTTAATGAAATTATTGAACAAAACAGGCTCCACGACCAACTTCTGGGGTAGTCCCCTTGATACTAGCAACCTGCCAAACATCAATGATCCAGCAGCTTTCTATCCACCTTCCAGTCCATTCATCCAACCTATAGTTCTTAGCTTACTTGCAAGAATGTTGTGGGAGACCGTATCAAAAGCCTTGCTGAAGTCAAGATATATAGCATCCACTGCCTTCCCTGCATCCATAGACCCAGTCATCTCTTCATAGAAGGCAATCAAGTTGGTCAGGCATGATTTGCCCTTGGTGAATCTACGCTGACTGGTTTTCCCAACTGTCGGCACTGGATTTATGACCCAGATATCTTGTTCCAAGCAGATCCAAACCCTCAGACCAACCACAACCTCTCCATTCAATAATAGGCACATTTTATTGATACACAGTGATAGCAAATAAGAATAATGTAAACAATTCTATATCTACCAGTCCTAAAGCTGTTACAGAGGAAAGGTATGTCTGGCCAGTACACAACCTTCACCCTGAGGTTCTCTCTTGAATGTCAGGTGTCCGCAGCCTGGAGGTCAAGGGCCAAGCCCCACCCCAGTGCAGTGGGAGAGACAAAGCAGTGGTGTGCCCTCTATCCATAGTAGCCTTGGGTTCCCCTCTCAGGGACCCTTTGCTGCTCTGAAATCCCTCCTTTTGTATTCTTTCTCCCTTCTGATGATCATCTCTGGGCATCATTGATTGGTATCCCTGTAGTTGTCATGCTGTTCACATTCTTTCCTGTCAGCATATTTCTTTGTTCCAACAAATCCACCACATGCATACACCTTAAATTAGTTATTTACCAGGCTTCCTAATTTGGTCTGTTTACCAAAAAACAGAAATCCCATGGGCTCTGATGCCAGGTCACAGTGCCCAACTGCAATGCTGCAGAGTCCCTTATCTCTATTATGGAACAGTGTGGTACATGTCTTCAATGTCCCAGCCTGTGTGGCTGCTGACTTCAGACACAGTGGGTCTGGAAGGAAATTTTGTCACAAACAGGCTTTTAAAAATCAATTAACCCTTGCCATTCCCCATGATCATTATTTCATAGATTTCATAGACATTAGGGCTGGAAGGGACCTGGTAAGATCATTGGGTCCAGCCCCCCTCCCAAGGGACAGGAAATCTCTAATGTTATCTACTTTACCTAAAAGCCAGTTCCTAAAAGCAAACCTAAATACTATTTTCTAGCCATCATTAAGCACCATCTTTACCTCTAGGTGCTTAGAAATGGATTCCTTGAAGACCTGCTCCATGATTTTACCATGGACTGAGGTGAGGCTGACTGATCTGTAGTTCCCTGGATCCTCCTTTTTCCTTTTCTTAAAGATGGGCATTATATTTGAATTTTTCCGATCATCCAGCACCTCCCCAGATTGCCATGAGTTTGATCTTCAAAGGCGCTTCAGCCTTCACATTAGCCCAATCCTTAGGCTTTGAAACAGTTTTGTAACTGTATTATTTGATAATGTCATGAAATAAATAAATGCCTCTTTCATTTGGGATTCACATTAAGATCTGAATCCAAGTTAGTGCATTCATACACTGACAGCCCTGTTCTTAGGTCCAAATTCAGTCCTTGATCAGACAAAATTTTCATTGATTTCATTAGCAAAGCAAGAACTTCAGGTTTCTGACCCACTGGATCAGAAAGGAAACCTATGAGTGTCAGACTAAACTATCATATATTTAGGGCAAGAATCTTAGCCCTAAACTGGGCTAATATATTGAAACAAATAATTTATTTAACAAATTTCAAATCTTTTTCTCTTTGTGCTCAGACTGATTTTCTCAAATGTACATTTTAGAAATGTAGTCACCAAAATATCATAGAGTTTTTCTCAGACTGTAGATCATTCAAGAGTTGTTCACTGCAAGTATTCAAAACCCAAATCATTGTGCTGAGACACACTTATTAGCTGGCATATTTCTATGCATCCGTTGGAGGAATTCAAGTCTTAGATCTGATTATTGACAATTTCAAATTCTACATTTTCTTTCCCAAAATATTATACAAACTTGCTTGAAATTGGATGTCTGAATCACTGTTGCTCTGAAAAAAATGTATTTGCTAGGATACTGGTTGAAAGCAAACACAAGATAGGAGTGATAAGTCTACAT